AGTAAGGTATCTTTACTTTTACTCAAGTATGGCTTTTGGGTACTTTAAACACCACTGATGAATATACAGCCCCAGATTTAAAAGTGTTGACAAAGACTCCTGAACGCCTCTTTGGTGACGTCACGCAACAGTGCTGAATACAGGCCTCTGATTGGCTAGTGCTTTGTGAGACGCAGCCTGAAGTGTGCTCGATCTTTGTTCAGCGTGCACTGCATGGGCGGAGGTCTCGTTCTGAATAGTGCAGACTCCACCCGTGCAGATACTCTCAACAACAAAACACGCGCTCATATTCTTTTACCAAGAACTCGCGCGAAGTTTAGATATACAACACATATCTGTGGCGGGAGATGGCGAACGGAGGGAGCTAGAAGTCGTTGTTTTGGTCTTAAATTGTGCCAAAAATAAAGTAGCGTAGCAGAAGGAGTTGTGGCATTAAACGGGGTTCACCGCGGACCACAACGCAAAGATGGGAGACTTCGGAGTATATGCGGTTTTTGGAGTAAACGGTCCGCCTCAAAGGCTGCTGAGGTAACTACGATAAACGATAACTTTTAATTGTTATGCTATCTGTTATTAATAAGTAATGTACCATCTCTAGCCGTTTTTATGCATTGCAAGAGACCCATATTCCCGTATTTTTTTTCCCGTGTCAGTGCTGAAGGTTCGTGCAGGGTGTCTGTTGCCGTTCCCCCGAGTGTCCGCCAGGTGGTGCTGTTCAGCAGCGGGCCGTGGGGAGAGCGGATCTGCGTTAACGCAGAGCTCAACGACGCGGACCGTTTCCCCATCACGATCGGGAAACTGACTCCGTATAACAAGTAGGTCCACTGACTACTAAAACACTAAAAGTTGACTGTGTTGTGATATTTCTGGGTCTCCCGTGCATCTACTGTCATCTAAATGATGATTTACCGGGACGTCTCGTGCCCTGCAGGTGTCTGTCATGGGAGCAGTGGGAAGAGGAGACCTGGACAGACGGCGTCACACTGAGCGTCACTCTGGAGGGAGGAAACCTGGTAAACATCGAACAAACACTAAGACTCAGTCTAATAAGTGGGGACGTTATTGAACCAGCTAATAGCCAAGCCACGAGACAATACGTATGGAAATATAACACAGTAATCCTCGGCAATAAGTCATATATATATTTTGTGGTCTTTAACCAAAGCAATTTGGGGGTAAAATTACATTATTTATGTATCATTGTAGACAAATTTGTGTCTAGATTATTAAATCTATAAGTATGTTCCTGCACAATGATTCAGTTATGGATAATATAATATATATTTATATATAAAATGGATAAATATATTCCCCCCCCTCAGGTAAAAGCAGATTGGTCAAAGCCAGAGCTCCTGTCTGTGAAGGAATACACACCAAAGGTAATTTGTGTGAATTATTTACTTTATATATATATACTTACAGCAAAACCCCATATCAAGAGCCACTTGTTACAGTCATATTTTAAGACTGTAATGTATTTGTACACTTGTCAGTATGACTTGTTTTAATGCTTACTTTTGTAGTTTCCTACGTTCAACACAATGCTTTTTAATTATTTATTTTTTTACAGTTGTAATGTGTTTCTCATTGCAACCAAAAACCAGAGCAGAGTGAGACTTTAATATCCCCCTCAAGGCCCAACGTGTTTGTACTGCAGCATTGCATCCTGGTCTATTGATGCCAATGTCAGTCAGTTTGTCACATGTGTTTTTTTGCAGGACTGACACATACAAATCCAACCCACAGATGAATGATACTGTACTGTTTTTGTAGCGGCTCGCCACTCTTTCCCAGTTCTCTCTTGGGATCATATTTCAAACATTAACTATTTGCTAAATTATGAATGACACCGCGTCTGTTGACTCGTCCCAGGACACCGTGGCTCCGCTGGCGGCCCGCGAGCTCAAAGGCAAGAGGAAGAGAGAGCGAGTGTCGGAGGAAGACGGCGACGGGGATACGACGACTGCTCGCGGCGAGGAAGAAGAGAACGTGTGTCCCAATGCCACTGCGGAGAAGACCACGCCGGTGAGAAACGCCAGAGGTCAAACCAGGGGGGGCCAGAAGCTGTTCAGTGCTGGAGCAGATGCAACAAGGATGAAGGGAACAGGTGAGAGAGACACAAACAGTGTGTGTTTATTTGCTTTAGATTATTGAGCCTGTAAAGAAAACAGTGTTTATGCATGTGTGTGTGTGAGTGAGTGTGTGAGCAAGACACTCCGGTGGCTCGACGTTGGAGGAGTGAAGCATTTCTTTGTGTACTCCGTTCCACAGCTAATGGAGCAGGAGAGGCGCAGGGGATTGTGGGAAGAACGCCTCCTCAGAGTGCAGCCAGGACGAAGAGTAGGCAGACCAAGACTCCCACACAGACCGGTAATTGTGTGCACGCACATTACACACTATTTTAGTGGTGTTTTATGTTGACTTTTTTTGTCGTGTTTATTCACCTTTCAGTCCCGTAGCTGGCACGTTGAGACACGTCACCCACATGAGTTCACAGAATAGTGTTTTGTGTGCACATAAGCATGGACAGGCCATGGTGCATCCAGGTGTTTGTAGGTTACGGCCACCTGGGTGGCACCGTTGGAAAATACGCTTATTTGCTGTTTAATGCCACGCTCGTATCCCTGTCCTATATGAAACTGGAACCAGGGGACGCTTGGCTTAGCATAAAGACTGGAAACGGGGGGAATCTGTTAGCCTAGCCACCATTTAGACACCAAATCTCTGTTGTTTTTCCCTGCAGCCCCATTGGTCAGCCCGTCGGGTCGCTGGGGTCAGACTCTGTGTCCCATCGATGCTCAGACGGCTATTCTGATTGGAGGGCAGGGATCCAGGATGCAGTTCTGCAAAGACCCCATGTGGAAGCTCTGCACAGGTCTGTCACAGAACAACATTCATAAAGGGCTCCAATGAGAACTGTGTTTAAGGGGGTTTTACTTTCCTGGTGGCGCCATGTCTAGAGTGGGTGTTCTCTGTCCAACAGAGGACATGTCCTGGTTTGCGGCGGAGACTCTGGCAGAGGGCCCGACGCCCGAGGCCCGGATCGGACACACGGCCGCGTACGACCCGGACTCCAGGCGGATCTTCGTATTGGGAGGCTCAAAGAACAAGAAGTGGTTCAACGACGTTCACATCCTCGACACACAGAGCTGGAAGTGGACCATGGTGGAGGTGTGTGTGTGTGTGTTTTTGAGTATATTATTGCTGCTTGTCCTCCCCCCTTCATGTCCTCCTCCTCCCTCTCTCTCTCACCTCCTCCAGGCCCAAGGAAATGTTCCTCCTCTGGCCTACCACAGCTGCAGTATGTTTCGCGGTGAGCTGTTTGTGCTCGGAGGCGTGTTTCCTCGTCCGAACCCGGAGCCCGACGGCTGCAGTGACTCGCTGTATATCTTCGACCCCAACCTCTCCATCTGGTACCAGCCGATTGTAACTGGCGACACGCCCTCCCCCCGCTCAGGGTAAGATGGTTCGATCCAATTATCACCTCAAGACGTCCGGCTGACACTCCTTTCATTCTCTCCGTGTCTCATCCTCCCTTTTTGTTTCTCTTTCAGCCACTCTGCATGTGTGATGCAGGAGAGGAAGATCTATGTATTTGGTGGGTGGGACACTCCCGTCTGCTACAATGACATGTACATGTTGGACCTCGGTAAGCCACACACCCGCTGGTTTTATAGGAAATTCTTGGTTCAAGACTCGTATATCTGCATAAAGGTGTAAATACACTGAATAGTTCAAATGGAAACTTTTTTTGCTTGTTAGGTCTGATGGAGTTTTCTGCTGTGAAAACAACTGGAAAAGCCCCCTCCCCTCGAAGGTAGACAATTCAACTAGAGAGCTGGATACTGTACCTCAGTACTTTTAATATATATATTATATCTACACTGGTATCACACAATTTGAAGCAGTATTAAGTCTTTTCTGTGTTTAATGTGTTCCAGCTGGCACGGCAGTGCTGTGCTCTCAGACACAAAGTTCCTGATCCACGGAGGCTACAACGGAAACAACGCTCTCAGTGACACCTTCATCTTTGACATCGGTGAGAGACGGCTCACAATTACACACACACACACACACACACATACACTTACAGAGTTCAACCTGGGAAGAAGATTTAAAGGAGAAGTAGTGGTTCACATTCATAGATCAAAATATCTACTCTATTTTATCGTTAAAAATTATCAAAAGGAATGTGTGAACTTACAGTAATTACACAGTGAATGTGGCGGCCATGAGTACATAAGGTCTTCAACCAACTTTTTTTATTGATTAATCCAATTACATTTTGGATTTTCATGTTAAAAATAATCTCTTTTTTTCTTTGTTTCATTGGTTCAGACACCAACATCTGGACAGAGGTGACGCTTCCCCAGCTGTCCGTCCCCAGGGCGGGGCACGCCATCATCACCATGGACACGGCCAACAACCACCGTTTCTCGGGGGACAATGAAGACGCCGGTTTGGACGCCGGCTCCGTCACAAGAACCCTGCTGGTGTTCGGAGGCGGAGACAACGAGGGCAACTTCTTCTCCGACCTGACGACTGTCGCCGTGGAGGATCTGCTCGGTGCTATTTAAAGAGCGTGAGTCAGAGGTGAACCCTCACTCCCCCCCCCGACTGGATGTGAAGCTCCTTTAACACCACAGATCCTTTATTATTTATATTCCCACAGCGTGTCTTTGTTCTCTTTTATTTCTATTTTTTTTTTTTTTTAAAGATGTTGGTTTTGGAAAGTGTACAGTTTGGGCATTTCTTCTATGCAGATCTGAAAATGAAACATCTCCTCGTGGTGCATAACAGGAATAATGGAGGTACTTTTTTTAGCAAACTTCAAAGAAAGGTGGTTCCTCTCTCTCTCTCTCCCTGTGGTTCCATATTAATAAGAACAATGATCTTGGTATAAATCATCAAACATTCAGATTATTCTAGTCATAAAGGTCACTACTGATTTATTTATGTACATAGTATAAAGTCAGTTAAAATGTATATGTTTTATTTTTATTACACTGATCTGTAATTGGGGCTTTTAGAAGCGCTGATATTTGGAATATGTCACCTTTGGAAAGCTGCAGGTGCATTAACTCAAAATCACGTTATTGTCGTAATTTCCAAAATCCCAACTCCTCTTCCCATGCTGGTCATTTGCACTTTGTCTTTACTTAATAAAATCTTCCTTTAAATGAACATTTTGTCTTTCTGCTCAATTACATCTCTATAAAGAAAGTAAGCAGAACTTAAACTTCAAGCTTTTCCATTTGCAGAATAATGAACGCACTTTTTTTTTTAGTCTGACAGGAGACGGTGAGGTACGATTTATACCAAGTAGTGTCAACCTGATGTAATTTAAATGAGGTTTGACACTTCAACAGGAAAGGCCCATTATTTGTCACATCCTTGTTGGCCCGGTAACTCAACACTAACGGGAGCTAATGTCAGACTAGCGGAGTAACACCGATGCTATCTTCAAAGAAACAGAGCTAAATGGAGACATTTTAATAAAAGATTAGTGCAGCTCGAGAGGGATTATCTTCCTTTCTGCTGAAAAGCTGATAATGGTGTCATGAATGTGGCTGTTTTTAAAATAAAACTTTAATATATTCATAGGATAATACAGCCGGGAGGTGCCCACTTATTTAATGTACAAACTAGCGGCACATTCAATGTCTCCGTGCTTGTTCATCCCCTTGAACAGAAACAACCATGAGGGTTAATTAAGATCTGATCAACTTTAGTGATCCGACTTAAGTGTTTCAAAAGAACAGGTGAATATGTTAGAGAAGCAAGATTTTGAATAAGTACAATACATGAATACTGTCTGTGTGACAGGGTAGATGTAGACAGACATGCACGAGCTGCTTTGCTCTGGTAAATTATTCAACAACTTGTCCGGTATTTAACTAGGAATCAGACTGGCAAAATCCACCTCCTCCGTGGCATTTCCTCTGGTGATACAAAGGAAAGCCTGGCTTCCTAAACAAAAAAAAGGTTCCAATAGAAAGTGAATCAGTTTCCTCGTTTCCCTTTAAGTCTTGCTTTTACTGCAAATCATAAAATATGCAATGTACTTATTAATGTACTATGAAAGTCTTCATCACTTTGATCCTAGTCAGTTAAAGATAATGTGGTTGAATTCATTGTTTTTTATTTATTTATTAGAGAAATCAGTTATATTATTACTTGCAGTACATTATGATGCACTTACTGTGATTGTAAATCCAAAACAGCTCCACCCACATTCATCCTGAGCAGACGTCTAATTAGACTGACTAATCAACGTGATGAAGTACTTTAATTGGTCAGGTATTTAATGAGCTGGATCACACAAATAAGCAAACACTCCTGTCTGTTCATTTTATCCATTGACAATTGTTCAATTGATTTTTCTGGACAATGTGTCATATATACATCATGATATAATGTAACCCAAACAATATTACTTATACTGCGATAGAGGATTGTATCCACATTACCGACCGCTAATGTACATCTACAAATAACCTACATGCAATTACAGTAGGTTTAACTCCAAAATGGTGCGAATTCAATTTTAAATTACTTTTATTGATGCCTAAATAAAGTAATAAAGGTGACACTGTGATGGATCCTCTGTTGTAATAAAGTCACAAAGCTCTATGTGGTATTCCTGGTTAAGTATCTTGATACGCAAAACAAAAGTCTGACTGGTGAGTTTGTGATGTCACAGTAATGAAGATCCGCATATTGCCACAGAGTGAGTTTGATTATTGTCGAGATGAACTAAAATGCATGAAGGCTGGAGAGGCAGTCTTCAGTCTGGTTATGTGTACAGCATGCCAGCTTCCACACAGAAAATGATTGGCTGCATATTAAAAATAACTGTCATGACAGCCTCAATCTGGCACCCTGAAATAGGAGACTAATGTTATTTTATGTTCATCCAAAAGGACTTTAAAATAACCTCAAATCAGCTGCAATTAACAGTCCTCCTACTCAGAGTGTCATTTCTTCTCCAAAGCAAAAGTATGGCAGCCAAAAAAAAAAAGCATTTTCATCCAAATATTTATGGGACACACAGCAGGAAATAGTCTCAGGATGGACTGTGGGGTATACACATTACAGACAGACGGACAGATGGATAGATAGATATTACACTGTAATATATTCAGGCATCCTGCAGATGGCGACACTAAAGCACATCTTCCCCCAGCAACAAGCATGACTCTTACTCAAACAGGCCATGAATAATGTGTCAAAATAATATATAAAAAAAGAAAAAGTAGAGTCACTGAGTTCATGTGGCATATAATTTTTGTGCACATTCTTTCTTTCATATTCGTCTCAAAGCGCTGGTCACAAAATACGTCGGCTCTCCAGTGATCCACCGTCAACATGGACAAGTGCCATCACACTGAAAATGAAGGAGAAAAAAAAGGACATATTCTGCCAAGTCAGTTGGACTGGTTTGACTGTTTACTGATTGATAAGTTACAAGAAAGGCCCAGTGACTCCCTCTGGTACAGTAGCAAGGCTGTATGAAAACACTTTTATGCAGTGAAAACTGTTTGTCTTCCTAACAGTGTACGTCCCCCAACACGCACACTCCTTCCATCATCAGGGATGTGATACATTTTTCCCCTTGATTCATCGGGAAATCCTGCCAGTTGGATGCTCTCCCAGTCATCACTAACAAGCTTCATTTCCTGATTTCTGTTTTATTTTCTCCCTAACATCCTTTGCATTGTGCGAACGGTGTATATTTTGCATCGTGGCTGGTCTCTGCAGACCTCCTGATTGACAGAGTTCACACATCACCACTTTCCAAACGGCAGCCATATTGTCTTCATCATGTCCGTGGCTGTTGCTAAGTAACTTGAAAATGTCTGTGCCGGCTGTCAGCGTCTCACAGTCACATTTATGGGCACATATTTACAAATGGCACTTTATTTCTACGACTGCAACGAAGACTCATAACTCAACCACATGAGGGTTTAATAATTGGCTATGGCCTCAGATGAATGAGGATGGGGATGATGGAGAAGGAGATTATACTTTACACAAACAATCTGTCTGGTTGACAAAAGAAGGAGTCATTCGACGAAACTACCTCTCAACCAGAGGATCTCCAGTGTCAGCAAAGGTCCCCCTGCTTGTGAACTCATTGGTGTGCTGCTATTAAAAAGTTGGACAGGAACGCAATGAATAAGTGAAAAGAAAAAATGCCTTTGGGACAATACTGAAGATTTTGGGCACAGTATCAAAACTATAAACAGTAAAGAGCCCTCAGAGACTTGTTGTTGGGGATTCTAGCCTCTGTGAAGGAATGCAGGATTTTATGTGGGCCCCTGGAATCATCAGCACCTTTCACACCACCAGCAACAGCAATGCAACAAAATAATTAGATAATTACATTTTAAGATCTTTAAAATATATATATAAACATGAATGCATGAACTTGTTTCGGGGCCCCTGTGCAAACAATTTGAACTAACACAGGGCCCCTCTACAAGATAGGGCCACAAGGACCCAGATCATATTGTAATGTAGGCTACTTAAGTGGTAGGCTACATATTTGCAAGTAATCAAATTCCCCAAAAACCAACTGACACACGAGGTAACTTGGGGCATTTGGGGCCTCTGGTGGTCTGGTCTGAGGGTTTATCTTCATTAAAGCTACAGACACAATACCCCTACCTGCCATTAACCAACCTGGAGGAGTCGCGTTCAACCAGTAAAAGACTCGGAAAAAGCCGAGTGGAGCCGAACGCGGACCGACCCCCCTCCCCTCCCCTCCCCTCCCAGTCGTGGTGCAAGCAGCCATGTTGCCGCGAGCTTGTTCCGGTATCAGGGCAGGATCGTGCGCATAGACTCGATCGGGCGCAGCTCCTCGCCTCTCTCCCCCTGTCGCCCGTGACACGCACCTCCCAACAAGAACACCCCACTTGACCAATAATGGATTTTACAACTTGATGATTCCTCCTTCAGTCGGCTGGTTCCGGGAATAATATCAGCATCTGTACCGACGGACTGGTGTCTATCGCCTCTCTGCAGTGCAGCACTGTTGAACGACCTTATTCCAATCACGCAACACAGGGAAGAGCGCCGGTGATTTCCGTGGATTTTGAGTTTTGAGGTTTTGCTCTGCGGCCGCAGGAAGATAAGCTAACTAGCTAGCGTTGCTTCGAAAGAAACACCGAGTTAGCTACTAGCTACACGGGCTAACGTCGGCCAGCCAGTTAACTAGCGCCACAGATTCGTGTTTCTCACCTGCCATGTGACCATTTTACATGGTGCTGCGTTTTGTCTTTTTTGGATACCCTGCCCCTGGATATTTCGCTGGGAACATTTTGAATAGTTTTGTGTGAGTTGGGGAAGGTCAAGACCTCGCCGGGAATAACTTTGGCCTGAAAGTTTGTGGACCCCGGATTTGATTTCAGACCATCTCTGCCACAAAAAGAGAAAAAAAACAGGCGTCGACACCTTGTTGTGAAAACGACGCTGGATAAACGCTCGATGTAGATTTCGGGGACAGTTCTGGCTTCCTCAGTTAGCAACCTTACAGGTTAGCATGCTAGCCACATAATTGAACCTTGTCTCGTTCAATACAACCATTGCCCCAACTTTTCTTCAAGCTAGCCCGAGCAGCTAGCTGGTCAAGACGTCAGAGCACCAGGCTGGTAGCTCGCTGGTTACCCTCGGCACTGGTACATGCTAAAGTGGAAACTGTGTTCACACCAACACCGAGAGCTAAAGAAGACACTTTTTAGCTTTTCCTGTTTTGTACTTGTTGACAAACATGGGCCGTGCGGTCGCTGCTAGCTAGTTTCTAGCTAGCTAACTCGGCTAGCCGCGGATGTGGGATTCAACTTGTTGATTCACGGGCTATCTGTCGTGCTGCTAGCTGGCTAGCACCAGACATCTGTTGGACATTTTCCTCCACCACAAGCTAGACAGATTTTAAATGCACAATAGACACTGACGAGTCGTTTTTGCTTCACTGTTCCCTTTTTTGGCAACTTCCAGTCTATCAAAAATGTCAACAAGGACCCCACTGGTGCAAGTCATTGAGAATTCGACGGGACAGGTAAGACTCTTAAGGTCATTTTACAAATGTATGTTATAGTTGATATTTACACATAGATCTACATAAGAATATAATCTTTATTTGCTGTGGAAAAGGGCTCTGCTCTGTCTCTGTTGTCTTTGCCACACAGCAGTGATTCACCAGCTTGCCTACGCACTCGCACTGGATTTCCCACTCTTTGCAGAATAGAATAATACATTTTAAGGCTGTGTTTAGTCTGTGTGTTAGGGCATGTCCTCCTACTTGACTCTTCAGGACTTTGACCTGTTTCAGTACAGACGATCCTGTCTCACAGTTCCACATGAATGCCTTATAGTTAACAGAAGTAGTGCAAGCATGACTTTAAAGTCCCCACACAGTTATGGTCTGTGGGAAGAAAAAGTTGTATTTGTGCGGGACGATCTTGATTACAAAGCTGCACTTGCTGGTTGTTGTTGTGAGGAAGAAGCCTCTGTGGCTGTGTTGTAAAAGAAAAGTCTTTCAAAGTTTATGGTACTTATGTAGTCTTGTAAGAAACAAGGTGGATCGTTCATTGATTGATTAAGAAATTGTATATTAAGGGGTCCAGAACACATCTGGAACAGATGTAGATTAAATTGAGAGGTGTTCTTAAAATTGGCTCCCAGGTGTTAAATTAGAATCAACATTTATTTAATTTCCTTCGATTTCCCCCCCCCCCCGTACAACAATATATCCTCTTTTGACCTAAATCAAGTGACCCTCATCAAGAGGCCAGAGGGCTTCTAAACACTCTATACTATTACATAAATACATGGAGCAATATTGCAAGCTGGAGATTCAAAAAGTATGCACGTTTATGTCTCATTCAGTTGAATTGAGAAACACTCACACACTGGTAGTGCGTTTAAAAGACAAAGAAACCACTTGGTTGTGCTCTGTAAATCATTATTGGAAGGCTGGAATAAAGCCCTATTCAAAGACAGCGTCTGTCTTAATCCTGTTGACAGTTCCACTGAAGATTCATTGTAATGATGAATGAAACTCACATGAAAACCATTACGGCTTCCGATACAGACAAAGACCTGCTTTACTTGGACAGCTGTCGACTAGCATCATGTGACGAAACATTTCTTATGAGTGTTGGATGGAAACACTTGTGTGTGTACATGTTGACAGAGTAGCCAGTGGGTGTTGTCAGTGTGTGTGTGTGACGCAAACCCATTTCTATATTTGTGTTGCTTGACTATCTGTAGGTATAATAATGTAGCTGCGGTGAGGCTTTAGCGTGATGCATTGTTTTAGCAGTTGTTCAGTAGCCTTGATGAGTTTAGCAACATAAATAGAACAGATGTACAATCATAAAATACATTTGGTTAAATACTGACCGTGGCTTTTAAAAGATTATGACATCATAAATAAGGGAGGCGTTATTGAATTGCACTTTTTTTTTTTTTTTTCAATCCGTCCCAAGAGCTGCACCCTCTGTCAAACAGTTCACTACCTGACACATTGAAAGCCCAACCCAGGTGTACAACTGCAGCTGCACAGCCAACCACGCTGTAGCTCCGCTCTTACCAGCCAATAGGGAAGCCCCTCAGTGCCGGAGACTCAAAGGGTTCAACGATTTTTTGTCTGTCTTCGCTTCTTGTGCAAATACAATGCTGACAGAAGTTGTCTGTTGATACCATGATCTCACTGAGTGTCTGCGTGTGTGCCGGCTCGTCTCGCTCAACGGATCAGTGCCTCTTTTACAGTGTGCAGGAAAGCAGATCGACAGCTAGACTTGGGAGGTTGGTTGATGACACATACATATTCTTACATGGCTACACCCTTACCTGGAACAGAGGTCAGAAACAATGCAGTTGGTTATAGGAGTCTTTAGACTGTAGCCGCCTCAAATACACACACTGGTCCTCTTCATATCCAGTGGAGTTTTTAAGGCTGACGTCACAGATGAAGTTTGGTGTGTTTTGAACATTTTTGATAGAACACACACGCGAGTATTAACCATCAACACTGGCAAACTTCCTCATTGAATTCATGGGAGGGAGATATGCTGCTCCTGTGAAAACTTTTCACAGTTGTACACTCCAAGTTCAGTATCTTTGTAATTAATAACCCTCGAGCCGAACTTCCTGGTGTGCCTTGTTTGTGTAGCTTTTAGCGACGCATCTCTGTTGTTCTGCTGCAGGTCTATTGTTGTTCTGAACGCACCCCCCTGCTCCTCTTACAGCGACCTAGTGAGGATTTAGGGGTGTATGGAAAAAAAGGTTTTGGGGTTACAACAAGTCCTTAACTGGGTTTGTAGGCTAAGGGTCACACATGGATACTCCCACACAAACACAGTCTGTTTTTAAAGGCCATGTATAGAAAGCCTTTGGTGTCGGGTCTCAAGATACGGGACAAAATGGCACCGGACATGAAGACGGGTTGAGTGTTGACATGACTCTTCCCGTCAGTATATTTTCATCTGATTAGTCAATGTGTCGCTAGGTAAAGCACATTTTCGCTATCTGGCGATTTACTTGACTCGGATGGAAAGTTTGCAAGCATTTTTTATTTTTTTTTAACACATGACCAGCTGTTAATGTTTACGCCGGTCTGGTGGACGTTGGCGTTGTAAGAGTTACTGACCTGGTCCGACTACCGTCCTGTCATCATAAACAGCCGCTGGGCCCATATCATAAGAGAGCTGTCAGAGGTAGTGAAGTGACTTTTGACATCTTTCCGACGGTGTGAAACGGCAGATATGTCGAGTGGCTTTGATCTGACGTGTCGCTACACAAGGTTAGGTGCTGGCTGTTAGTTTGAGGAACTTATTTGGACACGGCACTCATTATCAGTGTGACACCGGTTCAACCTTGAATACCTTGAATTTGTATGCAACACGAGGACAGAGCGGGTTTTTAAAGGCACGGTTACTACAATGTTTGCCGTAGCTTCGTGCTCTTCGTCAACTTCCCCAGGCATGATCAGTTGTTTGTCTGATTTCCTGTTTTACAATGTTCCCTCTCTATTTGTTGAGCCACATCTTCTGAAAAGACAGACTAATGCAGCCAGAAATACTGGTCTGCCTCTTCAATTGTTACTTCATCCTCCATTTCATTGTTTGGGTAGTTGCACACTAGCCGAGCAAGCTGGATCCTCTGCACATGGAGGTGGGATGTATTTGAACCATTCATTTGTCCAAGCGATATTTCCTCCTTGTAGCAGCCACGTATAAGAGACGATAATCTGACTGAAGTATATTTAGGACTCGATTGTAATTTTTACATTGAGTGTATCCACGTTTAATTTATGCAAGACCCTCCCCTCCGTCCACAAAGGAAATCTAAACGAGGAACAAGGAAATAAATTACAAAGTCACAAGGTGGCCCATATGAAGGAGTTAAAGGCCGGCCTTACCGACCTGGTTGAAGGCGAGGAAAAAGTCCCTTTGACCTTTGTAACCTGCACCATGACTGAAATGGTGACAGTTTGCAGGTTCAAAATGCCGTTGAGCACCACAGCAACAGAAGACAAAGCAAACATAGTATTTGGAAATATGAGTGTGGCTGAGCACAGTTTGATGCATTTCACCCGACGCCTTAGGAGTGTGAAAGCTGTTGAGCTGGAAATGTAATATAGATGAGAGCGAGAGGACCGCTGAACGTGTGAGAGTATTGACACAGGTATCCCGGCGAGGATGTGTTTTGATATTCCGGGGTTCACCTATTTTGCCTGTCCTTATTCCTGCGCCCCATTGAATGAATCATCTTGTAAGCAACCTATACAAAACACGCACATACACACACACACATACACGTTGCTGTTACGCCCAGGAAACCATAAATTATGCCTCTCTCCTTACCAGACCAGTCACTAGGCAGATGAACAGAAAGACAAAGCTAGACAGGGCCCTAGCAACAGAGAACCTGCTGCAAACACACACACACAGTGGATCACACACTACATCATGTTCACATTTGCCGGCACAGACACACACATTAGCTGCCCTTCATTTTTTCTTTCCTCTGCACACACAGACACATGCAGTGAGTTGTTAATTGGATCGGAATTACGTGTTGATTTAATGAGTTTTGTGATCCTTTACCTACTTATACTCCGGACTTCCGGAAGACACTTAAATATAGGACAAGCAGGTGCTGCCGACGTGTTTAACCAACAATGCAGTGAAGTTCTGTGTGTGTGTGTGTGTGTGTGTGTGTGTGTGTGTGTGTGTGTGTGTGGTGGATTGTCTGAAGGAGCGGGGTAAAACAGGCCTTTCCAGTCGAGCTGAGTGGAAGGTGTGGCAGCTAACTGTAGACCTGCGATGTGAAGGCTTTGACGTCATTCAGTGGAAGGCGTGTGGATCTCTTGCTCACTGCTTCAGTGTAACTCACTCTTTCTGTTTAGTCATCGGATGTCAGTGTGCCGTGAATAACTGGGATTTCTTCCTGTGATCAAAAGTGTGTTTTGATTTCTAGTAAAGGTTTAATTAATAGTCGCGAGAACTGCTTCAACTGTCACAGATTTGAGAGTCAAACCCAAGTTGTATTTCTTGCCGTTTTTATTATCGTGTAGAGGGGAAACAACTGTGCAAGAGTAAAGATAAAACTGCTTTATATGTTGGTCTAAAATCAAATTAGCTTTCCAAGATGCGCTTTTGTGTTTGGTGGCAAACATTCAAGCCTTCCATTGTTTGTTCACTCTATGCTGCTTCCAAGTGTTAGTAATGCTGCTTAGTATCCTGAACATGTCTTCCAGGGCGAAGGCAGTCCGTGTCAGAGATGTTTGATGGGACGTTACTTCCACTTGATTCACCTGCTTAACAGTCTTTTACTCGTTTTAAATGCTTTTAGTTGAACTACTTGATTCTGTGGCTTTAGCGTGTGTCCTTTTACCACTCTAATCCTGCAGGATTAGCTGCGTCCTTCGGAGGAAACGTTCTGCTGAGTCACACCGATCCAGAAATCCAGTCAGAATGGTGAAATTGGGTTAGTGGGGGTTCACATCAAATAGTGCGAACTTGTCGTTATCGGGCTATTAATTCCCTATCT